AGGAATATTCGGTAGAACTCGTTATAGTGATTACAAATTGATTTATTTCATAACATTTAACTTTATATTATAGCAAAATTCTCTTTGATTTTACTCAAAACAAGTTTATATAACTTTTAATAAAAATGTGCTTTAATTTAATTAACAAAATTTTATAAATGATTACAATTAATAATTTGTACATAATATATGCTATAATAAGACTAATTATCATTGCTTTCCATATAAACACTTTATTCTTACGGTTCAGAAACCAAATACTTTTATTAAACACACAATTAATAAATTATATTTTTATTGTTGTATTCAATTGCAGAAAAAGTTGCAAAAATTGAGATAAAATGAAATTTTTATTGATTTTCACACAAAACAAAAGAATAATTTGAACATAAAATTGAAAGTTTTGCCATTTATTAAATGTAAAATAAGAGATGAATAATCTTTACAATATATTTAATCTTTTTTAATAATCATTTAAATAGCATTTAAATTGATATCAATTGTTCACTCAATTCAATCAAATACTAGTTATTTAAATTAGTTTTTAAATATTAAAATGTTAGTGGTCAAATGCTTTTACCATGCTCAGTTTAATTGAGATAATTATGGGGTTAATTGTATTGATAAGCAAAATCACTGAATAAATAATTACGTGATTCTGTATTATTGGTGAATCACATGAATGGGAGTCCCATAGACTGAATGTACGCCCCCTTAAAGTCTGACACATGTGTGAGACGTAAACATAACACACAATCACTTGACATGTTTTGCCACTCAATCACACATCACTTCCAGACCTGAAGACCATTCATGTCATAATACAGACAATACTCTTCGTCTCAAAATGGATATCAAACCCGAAAATATGCTTTCATTGAAAGGTATGTCTGAAACGAGCGATACATTGTTGAGACGAGTGATGACAGCAGTGATTGTCTTACAGTGGGTCGGGTTGTGTCCAAACAGACACCAATCAAGCACTTCATAGCTGTGGAGGAATACAACGCATTCATCGGAACCGATGACACACTGGAAACGCTAAACCTGTCGCCAAGTCTGGCCCAAGAGTGGCGTCTTTTGCCCCAAAACTTCGGAAACGTATATTTGGGCGAAACGTTTGCTTTTATCATAAACTGTACCAACGATTCGGTCAAAGAGATGGTCACCGATGTTGTGGTCCGAATCGACCTCCAGGTCGGCAATAAGGCCGCCATTTTGGGCGAAATGAAAGCATCGGTTTTGGACGCGAAGCA